ATAGAATAGAATAGAATAGAATAGAATAGAATAGAATAGAATAGAATTCTTTTATTGGCCAAGTGTGATTGGACACATAAGGAATTTGTCTTTGGTGCAAATGCTCTCAGTGGACATAAAAGAGAAGGTACATCAGTCAAGAGCCAAGAATCATCAGATGCAACACTTAATGAGTGTCATAGGGCACAATAAGCCATCAAATCATACTAGGAAACAGTCCATATAAATCGTAAGGATACATGCAACAAAGTTATGGTCATAGAGTCACAAGTGGGAGGGGAGGGGAGGGGAAGGGGAGGGGAGAGGAAAAATAGAAAAAAGAATATAAAAGAGGAATGGAATGGAAGAGAGGAGAGGAGAGAATGGAAAACAAGAATGGAATGCGATGGGATGGAAGGGAAGGGAAGGGAAGGGAAGGGAGTAGAGGAGAGAAGAAGAGCTGAGGAGAGGAAGAGAGAAGAGAAGAGAAGAGAAGAGAAGAGAAGAGAAGAGAAGAGAAGAGAAGAGAAGAGAAGAGAAGATGGAAGGGAGAAATAGATAGATGATGGTTGGGATGGGATGGGATAGAGGAGAGGAGAGGAGAGGAGAGAGAATGGAAAACAAGAATGGAATAAAGGAGAGGAGGGGAAAGGAAAGAGGAAGGGAAAGGGGGAAGGGACGTCGTGTCTGAAGAAGGGAAGGGAATGAAAGGAAAATAACTAAAAGGAAAGATTAAAGGAGGAAGAAAAAATAAAAGGAAGAGAGAAGGGAGGGGAAAGGAAAAGAAGAGGAGAAGAGAAGACAAGAAGAGAAGAGGAAATAGAAAAGAAGAGAAAATAGAATAGAAAACACAAATGGAATGGAATTGGGGAAGGGAAGAGGGGAAGAGAAGAGACCCTAACCCTATTAGAATCTTAGAAGCATGGAGAGGTTGCATAACCATAGAGGAGAAAGGAACCTCTAAGGGAGGTGTGCCTTTACATTTCAGAAATAGGATGACAAACAAACAAACGAAGGTGGGAGATAGATGGAGTCAGCTTTAAGTCAAAGGAGCTTTTCAGAACATCCAACTTATGCCAGGACGTTTAGTGTCGAGAGAAAGGTCCGTGCCAGATGTTCCCTTCAAAGGGTAGCAGAGGCTCTTAAAAGGGGCACAGGGGTTTTTTGATGCCTTTCGCAGCTATCCTGGCCATGTTTGTGAAGGTTTCCGCCCTAAAACACAACATCCCTGCTCCCTCACCCAAAAAAAAGAAAAGAAAAAGAAAAGCAAAAGAAAGAAAAAGAAAAAGATTTTGGACAGAGGCAAAACCATCCTGATTTTATGCTCGCCGCCTCCAGCCGACAACGTCCCTGCAGGCCAAACCGACTCACCGTTTTGATGATGCCCTGATTAAAAATAATTGGCCGGCAATAAAAGCGGCAGCTTGGGGAGAAAAGAACAGCTCTCGGCACTGAATGGCTCAATTACGGCTGTTGGTCGGAGGTTGGCTTTTTGGGTGGGAGGTCTATGGAGGGAGGGGGCAGAGGCCCCCCCCTCCCACTTGTAACAATGTTGGGGGCACAGCGTTATGGGGCTTCCAAACAATGGATGCAAACAATATAAATAGGCCGGGGATGCAGCCCAGGAATCAGAGACAAACAAGCCAGAAGGCAGGAGAAGCAGGAGCCGTTGTTTTGCCAACCTTCTCAAGATGCCTGCTGGGATCCTTTCGGCGTTTCTCTTCTGTCTTCTCACCTTCTCTTCAGCCTGCTACATCCAGAACTGCCCCCGAGGAGGAAAGAGGTCCGTGCCCGATGCAGAAATCCGACAGGTAAGGCAGAAATATCTCAGGTGTTTGCGTTTATCTTTCCAGTCTTCTTCTTATTTCTTGAAGAAGAATTCCATGGACTTCTCTTCCTTCTCCTTGTCCTTTCCTTGTCGGTAGGTTCACCAAAATTTTAATTCCCAGCAGGGAGGGGTAGCTCTGTCAATGAGGCACACAGGTGGCCTGAAAGGTAATCCCCCCCCCCCCATTCAAAGGTGGTAGAGCAATAACAGAGTTGGAAGGGACCTTGGAGGTCTTCTAGTCCAACCCTCTTCTCAAACAGAGGACCCTGGACAAATCTGGACAAATGGCTGTCCAAGGATGCATGCTTTCATTATCCATAGTCCGAGGTCTCCAAACTTGGCCACTTGAAGACTTGTGGACTTCAACTCCCAGAATTCTCCAGCCAGCTATGAATTCTGGGAGTTGAAGTCCACAAATCTTCAAGTGGCCAAGTTTGGGGACCCTTGACCTAAGTTGTATCATTGAATCCCAAAGATGTTTTTTTTTTCCAAAAGGGAAAATGGACTTCCTTCTTGTTGTTTTTCTTAGAAAAATGTTTGGCTTCTCATTCCGGAAGCTTCTTCTTCTTCTTCTTCAGTTCTGCAATTGTCTTTCTTGGGTTTAGCAAGGAAGAGCTGGGCTGGAGAAGCTTCATGGTTGAGAATAAGAGAGTTTAGGGAAGGAAAAAGCAGAAGGTGTAGAACCTCACAGGGCTGGAAGGGAGCTCCAAGGTCTTCTAGTCTAACCCTCTGTTGAAGTGGGAAACCTTATATCGTATCAGACAAAGGGGTTGTCCAAGACATAAAGTGTTGTTTTTTTTAAAAAAATAAGAAAGTCCAGGTACCCTTTGAAAAGCACTTTTGGGACAACCATGACCTGGATAATTGAGAGCCTCCATAGACGCTTATATTTGTAAATATGAGGAAGGATCTGGAGGCTACATCATATGATGATCAGTTGGGGGAACTTAGTAAATCTAGCCTATCAAAGAGAAGAATTGTGGGGGGGGGGGTGTTACAGATTAACAGAGTTGGAAGGGACCTTGTAGGTCATCTAGTCCAACCCCCCGCCCATTCCTGACAGATGGCAGTCCAGTCTCTTCTTGAAAGCTTCCAGTGATGAAGCTCCCGCAATTTCTGAGGGCAACTTCTGTTCCATGGGTTGATTGTTCTCACTGTCGGAAAGTTTCTCCTTATTTCCAGGTTGAATCTCTCTCCTTGGTCAGCTTCCATCCATTGTTCCTTGTCTGGCCTTCAGGTGCCTTGGAAAATAGCTTGACCCCCTCCTCCTCTCTGGGGCAGCCCCTCAAATATTGGAAGACCGCTATCATGTCTCCCCAAGTCCTTCTCTTCACTAGATTAGCCAGGCCCATTTCCTGCAACCGTTCATGGTACGTTTTAGCCTCCAGTCCCCTAATCATCCTGCTTGCTCTTCTCTGCACTTTTTCTAGTGTCTCAACATCTTTTTTATAGTGTGGTGACCAAAACTGGATGCAGGACTCTAGGTGTGACCTTACTAAGGCTTTATAGCGCGGTATTAGTACCTCCCTTGATCTGGATTGTATCCCTCTGTTAATGCAACTTAGGATTGCATTGGCTGTTTTGGCTGCTGCTACACACAGTTGGCTCCTATTTAGCTGGTTGTCCACTCAGACTCCAAGATCCCTCTCCCAGTTCCTGCTATTGAGCCTAATGAATGATAACCTAGATGAGCAATGCTAAGCTAACATCCCAGGTTAACTAGCATGACCCAAATAGCAGGCTAGACTTACAGCTGTTTCCAGGCAGAAAGTTTTATAAAACTTTTCATAAAATTGGTTAGTCAGAAAAGTTACCACCAGGCTTCTCCTGACTTCTGGCCATCATCCACAAACACAAGATCTACAGGCAGAATCTGCCTGAAATGTTTTTATTTCTGTATTTATATATCTTTTATGATTTGGATGTCACTAGGGAAGAACATTCTCAGCATCAAGTTAAAAGGAATGAGAGCCAACCTCTGCCAACGTGATTTTCCTGGGACCTGCGTAACTTTCATGATTTATTTTATTTGTACCCCTTCTTTTCCAAATAAGTCAAGGTGGTTGAGCTAGAGGTTGAGACTCTAGTGCAAAGAAGAGCCACCAAGAGGATTAGGGGACAGGAGGCTAAAACACAGGAAGAACGGTTGAAGGAACTGGGTAGGTCTAGTCTAATGAAAAGAAGGACCAGGGAAGACATGATAGCAGTAAGCCAGTATACGAGGGGCTGCCCCAAAGAAGAGGGAGTCAAGCTATTCTCCAAAGCCCCCTGAGGGCAGGACGAGAAGCAACGGATGGAAGCTCATCCAGGAGAGAAGCAACTTAGAAATAAAGAGACATTTCCTGAGGAGTCAGAACAATTAATCAGTGGAACAACTTCCACTTCAAATGCTCCAACACTGGAAGTTTTTAAAAAGGATGTTGGATAACTATTTGTCTCAAGTGATGTAGGGTTTCCCGCCTGGGCAGGGGGTTGGACTAGAAGACCTCTGGGATCTCTTTCAACTCTTCTATTCTATTCTATTCTATTCTATTCTATTCTATTCTATTCTATTCTATTCTATTCTATTCTATTCTATTCTGTATTTCTACTCTACTCTACTCTACTCTACTCTACTCTACTCTACTCTACTCTACTCTACTCTACTCTACTCTACTCTATTCATTGGTTCCTAGTATAATTTGATTGCTTATAGTCACCTACGACTATCACTAAGTGTTGTATTTTATGATTCTTGACGAATGTATTTTTTCTTTTATGGACACTGAGAGCATTTGTACCAAGACAAATTCCTTGTGTGTCCAATCACACTTGGCCAATAAAGAATTCTATTCTATTCTATTCTATTCTATTCTATTCTATTCTATTCTATTCTATTCTATTCTGTATTTCTATTCTACTCTACTCTACTCTATTCTATTCACTGGTTCCTAGTATAATTTGATTGCTTATAGTCACCTATGACTATCACTAAGTGTTGTATTTTATGATTCTTGACGAATGTATTTTTTCTTTTATGTACACTGAGAGCATTTGCACCAAGACAAATTCCTTGTGTGTCCAATCACACTTGGCCAATAAAGAATATTCTATTCTATTCTATTCTATTCTATTCTATTCTATATTCCATTCCATTCCATTCTATTTTCTATTCTATTCTACATTCTATTCCATTCCATTCCATTCCATTCCATTCCATTCCATTCCATTCTATTCTATTCTATTCTATTCTATTCTATTCTATTCTATTCTATTCTATTCTCTATTCTATTCTATTCTATTCTATTCTATTCTATTCTATTCTCTTTTCTGTTCTCTATTCCATTCTATTTTCTATTCTTTTCCTGTTCTATAGATCTATTTCAAGCCATTTAGCTCTCCTCAGCTAACTGTATTCGAATGGGGCTGCTTACCTAACGGCCTCTCCTTGCTTTGCCAGCTGTACCCGGGGGGGGGGGGGGGAGACGGTTTTTCCACCCTGGTGTGATCCCTCCAGATGTTGACCATCTCCTTTTCCTTTCTCTGGCTTTAGTGTATCCGCTGCGGCCCCGGCAACAGAGGGAGCTGCTTCGGGCCCAACATTTGTTGCGGAGAAGAGATGGGCTGCTATCTGGGGACTCCGGAGACCGTGCGTTGCCCCGAGGAGAACTTTCTGCCTTCTCCCTGCGAGGCTGGGGGGAAGCTGTGCGGGGCAGACGGGCGATGCGCAGCCCCCGGCATTTGCTGCAACGAGGGTATTTACTGGAGGAGGGGTGGGAACCAGGGGTGGGGAAGGGAAAAAGTGGAGAGAAAAAGAAAGATCAGACGAGAAGTTAAAACATGTAATTGCATTCATCCTCCACCAAATGTTATGCTGAGCAGTGATGTGGATTTTTTTTTTCCTGAAGCCCTAAAGCAGGGATCCCCAAACTTGACAGCTTTAAGACATGTGGACTTCAACTCCCAGAATTCCCGAGCTAACATGACTGGAGGAGGAATTCTGGGAGTTGAAGTCCACAAGTCTTAAAGCTCTGTCAAGTTTGAAGGCCCCTGATCTATCATCTATCTGTCTGTCTGTCTGTCTGTCTGTCTATCATCTCATCCATCCCTCCATCCCTCCATTTCTATCCATCCATCCATCATCTATCACAAGGGTCTTCCAACTTGGCAAGTTTAAGTCTTATGGACTTCAGCTCCAAGAATTCCTGAACTAACATGACTGGAGGAGGAATTCTGGGAGTTGAAGTCCGCAAGGCTTAAAGCTGTCAAGTTTGAAGACCCCTGATCTATCATCTGTCTGTCTGTCTGTCTGTCACCTCCCCATCCATCCATCCATCCCTCCATCCCTCCATCCATCCATCATCTATCACAAGGGTCTTCAAACTTGGCAAGTTTAAGACTTGTGGACTTCAATTCCCAGAATTCCTGGAGCTAATATGATTGGAGGAAGAATTCTGGGAGTTTAAGTCCACCAGTCTTAAAGCTGTCAGCTGCCTTGGAAAGTGTGCAGAGAAGAGCAACAAAGAGGATTAGGGGTCTTGGAAGCTAAAATATACAATGTCCAGCTAAGGGAACTAGATATGTGTAGACTTACAAAGAAGAGGACTAGGGGTGACATGATTAACAGCCTTCCAATATCTAAAGGGGTGCCCCAAATAAGTTTGTGTGTGTGGGGGTGTCAACTATTTCTCCAAAGCCCCAGAAGGCAGGACAAGAAGCAACGGGTGGAAACTAACCAAGGAGAGAAGCAACTTGGAACTAAGGATGTCTTAGAACAGAGGTCCCCAAATATGGTCGCTTTAAGAGATGTATGGACTTCAACTCCCAGAATTCCTGGCTGGGGATGTTGAAGAAGTCCCTCAACATCTTAAAGTGGTCAAGGTTGAGAGATACTGACCTATTCCCAGGTTTTTAATTTAAAGAAATCTAGAGGGGAATATTTTCCAATCAATCAGAATATATCTGGAAGGGACCTTAGAGGTCTTCTAGTCCAGCCCCCTGCTCAAGCAGGAGATCCTATACTATTTCAGACAAACAGTTGTCTAATCTCTTCTTAAAAGCCTCCAGTGACCCACAACTTCTGGTGGCAAGCGGTTCCACCGGTTAATTGTCCTCACAGTTAGGAAGTTTCTCCTTAATTCCAAGTTGCTTCTCTTCTTGACCAGTTTCCATCTGTTGTTTCTTGCGCTGCCCTCAGGGGCTTTGGAGAATAATTTGACCCCCTCCTCTTTGTGGCAACTCCATGTGTTGGGGACCATCCTAACCTCACCCAGAGTGAGTTGCTGCCAAAAACCCACAAACGAGAGCTAGGAAAAGCTTTGCCCATCTTTCTTACCTGTCTGGGACTGACCCAACCAAAGGTGGTATTCAGCAGGTTCGAACCGGTTCTAGAGAACCGGTAGCAGAAATTTGGAGTAGTTCGGAGAACCAACCAATCCCACCCCTGACTGGCCCCGCCAACCCCATCCCTTCTCCGCCTCCCATCGAGTCCCAGCTGATCGGCTGGGTCTCCTTTGGTTGCCCTGCACAGGAGAAGGGAGCTGGAAAGCAGGTTAGTGGGGAGGGGAAGGAAGGGGGATTTTGCAGTATCCTCCCCCTGCCAGGCCCACCAAGCCACACCACGCTCACCAAGCCACGCCCACAGAACCAGGTAATATTCTTTTTTTAAAAAAAATAAATCCCATCCTTTTACAGAGAGCTGCACCTCCGATGCTGCCTGCGGAAATGAGAACGGCGAGAGAGGACGGATGTCTCCCGAAAGGAATTTGACCGGGTTGGATGGCTCAACTGGAGATCTTCTCCTTCGCCTGATGCACCTGGCCAATAAGCAACAACAACAAGGAAAACCCCAATTTTATTAAGGTGTCATTTCGTGGGCGTCACGGGCTTAGAACCTGAAGGAGCCGCCCTGAGTGATCCCAAGCCTGTAACCGCTTAAGAATAAAATGTAAATACTCTACCCACAATTGTGAACGAATAAAAGTCTCCTTGCGTTGTGTGACAAAGTCGTTTAAGTGTGGTTTATGAAAAGAGGAGTGAAGCCCTTGCGATGGGAAGCTTTATCACAAAACCCTTGAAGGCCTCAAACTCCTAACCTTTCTGTAAAGTAGGGACAGGAAGTTCTGGTATAAATATACAGCTGGTCCTTGATTTACAAGCGGTGACTAAGTGACCATTGGAAGTTGCAACGGATCGCTCAGCACTGACGACCCTGTTCCAATCACATTGACATGACAGGATCGCGTTGTCAACTCATAAAATATTTCTCCGGTTTCTTTTTAGAGTTGCCAACAGAAAGAGAACAGGGAGCGGTGGGGCAGCTTGCAAAACCGAAAGCGCATTCCATAAATGTTTTCAAAGATAGTCACTAGGTGACCGAAGTTTCTGCCATGCAAAGATCTAATTGGAGAGCCTGATTGATGGCTCTGGGCTATGGAGGTGTCCCATTGGAGGATATGAATTACGATACACCGGGGAAACCAGGGCCAAGGGTGACCATGAATGATGTGCCTCAGAGTCGGCTACATCCAGGCAGCGCTGACGTGTTTAACTCTCAAGAAATCCTTTGGAAGTTTGGCTCAAGACTCATGATTTAATTGGGGGGGGGGGTTCATTGCCGGAATCCTGACACACATTTTGGACGTCCCCGTAGTCATGTGACCACAATTTATGAGATTAGGAACCTTGGAGGTCTTCTAGTCCAACCCCTTGCTGCTCAAGCAGGAGACCCTATATCATTCCAGACAAGTGTCTGCCCAGGCTCTTTTTAAAAACCTCCAGTAATGGAGCAACCACAACCTCTAGTGGCAAGCTGTTCCACTGATTAATTGTCCCGTCAGGAAGTTTCTCCTGAAATTTCAGGTTGTTTCTCTCTTCGATGAGTTTCCATCTGTTGTTTCTTGTGCTGCCTGCAGGTGCTTTGGAAAATAAATTGACCCTTTCTTCCTTGGGGCAGCCCCTCCAATACTGGGATACTAATATCATGTCTTCCCCTAAAAGTCTTTTTTTCCTCTAGACTGGCCAAACCCAAATTCTGCAACTGTTCTTTGTGGGTTTTTGTCTCCAGGCCTTGAATCATCTTAGTTGCTCCTCTCTGCACTTTTTCCAAAGTCTCATCATCTTTTTTGGTAATGTGCTGACCAAAAGTGGGTGCAGTACTCCAAGTGTGGCCTTACTAAGGTTTTATAAAGCAGTACTAACACTTCACGTGATTCTATGCCATATATATATATATATT